GAAGATAAATATGGGACGGAGGTAGTATGACAACATAGTACTCCGTATAAAACAGTGCAAAACAGTATGTGTTAAATTAAAATAGTGTAATCTACAATAAAATTTACCCATAAAAAATCAATTTCCTTAATATGACTCTATGAGTGCACAAAGTGAGCATTTTAAATAGGGACGAAGCTAGCAAGTAATTATTAACACTGAGATTTTGTTAATTTTTTTTTCAATTTGATAAATATGAATGTATTTGGACACTCTGATTTTATGTGTGTTGTCAAAATTGATCTCTTTAGAAATATACCTCTATAACTACATACATAGTGTATTTACACGTACTTAGCTCCACCAATGGACACTACATAGGATACACGTACTTAGCTCCATCGCTGATTGATCTATGAATTTGAAGAAATAATTTACGAAAAAACCTTAAAATTAAGATTGAAAGATGACCAATGATGATGAACATGTATTTTTGTTTTATCCCAGGTGTTTTTCTTCCATAGCTGCTCCCTATCCCATTTTCTTTTTCTTCTTTTCAATCTGCCGCTGTTGTACCTAGATTGAGATCTCATTATCTTTTTTATTGTTTCTTTGTTTTTTTTTGGTAGGCAGCGTTGCTGCCCTTTTCTTTTTTTGTTTTGCTTAGCATAGTACATGTAGGCCACCAGACTTAAAATACCATCAAGGTTATCTGATGGTATTCTCCTCCCGGAGTTTTATGATATACTCTGCACTGCTGCACATTTCACTTCTCCCCAACATAAACAGTCCATCATCTTCTTCAGAGTTTCATCATTGACGCAGCCACGCAGGTATTCTCCTCCTGAGTCTTGATCATTCTTATCTTCAGAGTTTCATCATTGACGCAGGTAATATCTTGTTAACTTTTGTAATTAACATTAAATTAATAAGGTTATCAAAAGAAACAATTTGACCACTTTCAAAATAATGTACAGAGTATATGATAGAAGTGATGATTGTTTGATGTGTGAATTGTGATGATTGTTTTATCCTCCAAACTAAAAGCCCAGCTTTGATCTTTGTTTCTTTAACCTTGAGATGTGTTTTTGAAACCATTGCCATTGCCATCTTTTACCTTTCTGGCCGGCATGGGAAGCGGCCGGCAATGCCAGCTTTCTATCTTCATTTTTCACTTCCTCTGCCTATTATCATGAAAAGGTTTCATCTGTTTCAACATTTGATTGGCGGTAGTAAAATGGAACTTCTGCACTAGTTGTTGTTCTCCTTATGGTCCGAGGTCCGAGGCTGGAGGCAGAATGTTCTCCTCCTGAACGTCGTCATGCCACCGTCAACGGCGGCAGTGACGGGGCCAAGACGCCGCGCCTTCCCAGAGGTATGAAATTCTAGTGCTCGGGAAGGAGGAAACAGAGTAGGGCAGGTGAGACCACGAAAGCTTTCCGCCCTAGCTTTCTTATGTTAATCATTTCTTGCATGAGTTGCATCGGAGGCGGTTCCGCTGCAATGGCAGCTTCGATCTTCATCCTACACTTGCTTTGCCTCTGTGTTAAATTATCAGGAATGTCCTCCACTCCTCCCAGCTAGCCCAGTAGTTAATTGGATCAATGTTGTTCTCCTCTTTGTCAGGTACCGGAGGCAGAATGTTTTGAACACTCTCACACCATACTCTGCTTCAATTATGTGGATCAAACTTCAATTGATATACTACGTTAACTATATAACTAGTTGAAATGTCAGTTCAATTCATCTGTTTAATTAATAATGCGTACTAAACAATAGTTCGTGCAGTTTACTAGCTTGATAAGCTATCAGGGTTTTCTCTTAATCATCCCTTTTACTATTTCTTAATGAGTTTACCCTATTTGTATCATTAAGGAGGAAACAGAGTCGTTTTGTCTTAGGTTGGAGATTCTTCTGCTGCTTTTAACTTTAATCTTGAGATGTGTTATGAAACTATTGCGAACAACCTTAGCGGTTTTCAGAGACCTGCTGTAGGGCAGGTCTGACCACAAATGCCTTCTTATGTTTTCCGTTTCTGGCCGGCATGGGAGGCGGCAATGGCATTTTGGATCTTCATCTTTCACTACGTTTGTTGTTCTCCTTATGGTCCGAGTCTCTGAGATTGGAGGCAGAATGTTTTCGGCATTCTCTCTCACCGTACTCTGCTTCAATTCTTGTCAATCAAACTGCAATTAATATAGTACTTAAACTATATTAATTGAAATGTGAGTTCAATTAAACTTTTTAATACGTAGTAAAAAATAGGTCATGCAGTTTACTAGCTTGATAAATTTTGTGGGGTTTATTCTTAATTATCCACTCTGTTGTTTGTTAATGAGTTTACCCTATTTTTTTTATCATTATTTGCTTTCTGTTGTATTTCACAGGTCTTCCTTGGTCTAATTTATACTCAGTACCGGCTTAGGGAAATGGATTTTCTTGAAGTTGACAGAGGTGAGGACGTAACGATTTTGGGAAAAGTATCAAATCAACCCCCAAATTAACACTAATGCTGCAAATCAACCCCTAAATTAAAAACCTCCAATCAAACCCTTAAAATCAATGAAAAAGTGCCTATCACCTCTTTAATAAAAATAAGTGCAATCAAACTCTCCAACTCATTGATATAGCACAAATGACTTCCCTAAATTATAATTTACCGGTTAAAGCTAATGTATACCATTTATTAAAATAGTTATTAAAATAGTTATGTCACATAAGATTCATTTATCAACCTCAATATATCTTACTTAGACCTTTTATTAACTGCTTATAAAACGAAGTTGGGCACGCAATCTCTTGAGAGGCTCAAGTGTTTCCACGATTGGCTGAAGACCCACAGACGAACTCAAAAAATTACACATAGCACGCCCCACCAATTCATGGAGAAAACGACTACCAATCAAGGAACCTGAAGTTTCGAAGAATAGGAGATTTGTGTAACCCTTATCTATTGTTGTTTAAATATTTTTGTGATTGTACAAGTCAATTTAATGTTCAAATAAGTTTATATTTCTTTTTTAATGTGTAAAGTTTGTTGATTGTATTAATACAATTCTTTTAATTAATTTAAAAATAAAGTGGATAAGTGAATCTTATGTGGTATGATTTTTTTAATAAATGACACACATCAGCTTTAATCGATAAATTATAACTTAGGAAAATTTGATTGCAGTTTTTTAAATTGAAGGGGTGATTTGCACTTTATTGCCGACTTGGTTGGAGATTTCTTTTAATTTAGGGGGTGATTTTCACTGTCGGTGTTAGTTTGGTGGCTGAGTTGGTACTTTTCCCTTCTTTTATTTAATTTTAGTGGAATTAGAGTTTGCACACCATTTTATCGTCAAAATAGGATTTTGCACCCTGTTTTTTTATATAAAACTTTGCATTTGCACCTCAAGCCCATATGAAAAGACAAAAAAGTCCCTCGATCAGGAGTATATTGAAAGCCAACGGAATATTCATGGAGGGGCATTTTGTCTTTTCTTACGAGGTTGAGGTGCAAATACAAAGTTTCTTTTTAAAACACGAGATGCAAATTAAAGTCCAATTTGGGCAATAAGATAGGGTGCCAACTCTAATTCCACCTTAATTTTATTTACAGTCATTTCTTGAGGAATGATGTTGTCCAGTCGGAGGGATAACACCCTATATCTGGCCGCCGCCATTTGATATGGTTTTCGGTGGATTTTTCTTAATCAAAATTTGAGCATTTTCTTTTAGAGTATGTCCTCAAAATGTTTGCTTAAAATTCGATCTCTAATAAGACAATTAAACAAATTAAGCTGAAATTTTGTTGACATAATCTAAACTACATGAATATGCTCATAAAATTTTATAAAAATTTTATAAAAAAATTCCATGAACTACCTCTTTCGGCTAAGTACATAGTTTAGTGGATGTTATAATATGTTAAAAATGTTGTCTAAAAACTAATCGTGCTTCAAATAATTTGTATCATTAAAGACTTGATTGTGGAGCTGACCAAGGATCTATTGGGCACATACTTGCGAGCACACATGGAGGATCAGATTGAAAGAGGTTGGTGGATTTAATAAAATATTTGTGATCTTTCGACTGTGTATGTGTGCATTTGCATTTAGTGTATTTCACTAATTTGTGGTCTGGTTTGGTCTAAACTGATCTGATAATGTCTAATCTCTTTGTATTTTTTTAACTATCTACGAGAGTGTTTGCAATTGCTTCAACTTTAAAAAAATGATTTTTTAAAGTGATTTGGGGAAAAGTGATTAATTGTAAAAGTTGGTAGTGTTTGAGAAAAAAATGATTCTGAAAAAGTAAAAGTTGGTAGTATTTGGTAAAATAAGTACTTTTTGTGTAATAGAAAAAGTGAAAAGCAGTTTAAAGCACCCTTCCACTTGCTTCCAGCTTTTAACTTTTAAGTGATTAATTTAAGCAGAAGTTATCATTTGAAAACACTCTTTTTAACTTTTTTTAAGCCAAAAACTGAAAAGTACTTTTTTTAATCAATTGCAAACACTCCTTAAATCTACTCTGTTCTGAACTGATCTGGGACATATTACAATCTCAGTAAAAACATCCTTAGAATTTTAAGTGAATAGAAAAGGCTATTCCTTGCTAAAAAAGGCTATTCCATTTGACTTATCTCTCTCTAAATAGAATGAAACTTATTTTTTAGTAGACCGGAAGGGCCCAGTGACTAAGTCTAGGATTTTGGCGAGTTGGGATGTTTTCTTTTGGACTGAAATTTGCTGGTCTGGTCTGGTTTGGTCTGATCTGGTGTGAACTTGTCTAGCAAACGTCTGGTCTCTGTGTATTTTATAACTACGGAAATCAAGTCTGACTTGGTCTGGTTTGATCGGGTCTGGAACTGAAAACAGTCCAAAAGAAAACATCTTTGGTATTTCTTTGCTTTCAGCTGCTACCCAGATTTTTTTCTTCAAAGAGACTAGGGAGTGAATTTTATATCATACGAGATATATAAGATGCACCAGAAATGCATAAAAGCTTTAAAGATTTCTTTCCATTAGACATGTAACTTGTGAGAATAGCATATAATCACCATTAAATAAGTACTGCTCAGTATTTTTTTTGAGAAAAATAGAATCAAAATCTATTCAAAAAGTCATTGTCCAATACATGAAAAATACAACCAGGAGGGGAATACGACCAAACTCGACAATAAGACAAAGCATCGGCCGCCCCAGCCAACAAATGAAGAGTATTAATCCTAGATGTCTGACATGGGAGAAAGAAATATAAGTTAAACCAGTCCCAATTTCTCTAATATCATCCGCAAGAAGATCACAAGTACTAGCATCACCACCCTTCTTTAGCTCACTAATTGCCTGCAAAGCATTAGATTCAAAATCCAAGAAGTCTCATCCTCGTTCCTTACGTTAATTCAAGGCTTCTCTAATACAAAACAATTATGTTTCAAGAGGAGTACACTTTCCATACCACGGTTTCGCCACACCTCCAATGAAGACCTCATCGGGGTCGCGAACTACCTACCCTAAACCACGTACTTCACCTCTTACCGCTGCACCTGTGTTCAATTTCTATTTCTCTTATTCCAGCTTCCTCCACACAGCCAACCCAACATCTGTACTCCCCCACACAACCGTCCACCCCATCCACTCATCCTCTAGAAATTCTCCCACTGGTCTTCTATAACAGCTCATAACTGAGAAATTTCTTTTCTTTTTCCCACCTCCAATACAATCTTTCCAATACAACCCTCTTACTCAAAAGAATACTAGAGATCAACGACTCATCTCTCTAGTAAAAAAATTGGCAAGAATGTCGCCATCCCAACTCCCACATGAATTACTAATTAAACCCGCCACTGATGTCTCATCTAAACCCTGAGCATAGGTCTGGATGTTAGGATTAACCTCATCAGGTAACTAAGGTTCGATCAGTCCAAATATTAATGGACTTTCCATTCCCTACTCTCCACTTATAATCCTCCTTTAGAATATTTTAAGTTCAAATAAACTCCTCCAAACATCGGAAGGGTTGGACCAAAGTTTAACGGTAAGAAAGAACCCATTCAGATAGTATCTTGCTTTAAATCTACCCATGAGAAAGTATTCCTCAATCATTAACCTCCACACTTTCTTACTAAGCATAGATAGATTAAACTCCCTAATATCCCTAATTCTTTTAAAGGCCAAACCCTCAACTTTTTTTGTTTACACAAACCCTTGCAATCAGTCCACCTTATCCCTTTGTCTGAGACCTCATTCCTGCGGTAGTCATTCATTAGTATTTCAATCTCCTTACATAGGTTGGGAATGATTCAATCATTGTTTTTAGAAGAACTTCTCACCCTGCTCTAGAAAATAATCCATTATTCCAGCATTGCAAAATTTTCACCACCCGCTGCTTAAAAAAACATAGAATATCATTTTTACTTTTCTCCACCGCAGTTGCTAGCCACAAATAATGCTCCTCACCATCTACCATCCCTACCCCAAGATTTCAGACAAACCTTCTGATAGATATACAACAAACTGACAGTAAAGTGAAGTAGAATTAAAGATGGAATTGACGAACTGAAAGGATAACGATACAATGGAGACACTTCGAGTAGTCTCCAGCACTCCCAAGACCGTAGTCCCAAATCTGATTTCTGCCTAACTCCTTATTCCCTCCTTCCCACTCCTATATAGTAATTATATTCTAACGGGCCAGCCCATATTTTATGACATGGCCCAAAATCTGTTTTACACATTACCACACTTATTTAATATAAATCTATTACTACTATTAATATTTTCTATAGCCCAGGGCCCTATCATATCTCCCCCCTTGAAAAACCACCTTGTCCTCAAGGTGGGTGATAAGAGACAGCCTTGATCTTCCACTTCATCTTCATCCTGGCACCTCTCCCTTCCCAATACATTGTTGATTTTTGTATCTTTAGCTTCAGCACTTGACCCTTCCTCCTCACTTCCTCAGACCAGCATTTTTCTAAGGTCTTCCCAGCCTTTTCATAGAGCTCATTGTTGTCCCGAATCTGGAAATTAGCAGTCTTGTCTAGTCCTTCAAAATTGTCAGCCATCTGCACATATAATTTGACCCCACTATTCAGCCCAACTACTTTGTCCCCTTGTTCTACTTTCCAAATGTTCTCCAGACCTTCCAGGTATGCAGTAACAATTCTTGGATCTTGACAGAAGAAGAGATTAGAGAGCATCTTAATGCAGCCGTTACTTGCCCAGCACCTAATCTGATTATGAGAGCCTCCTGATGTGGCCTTATGGATAGCATTTGCAGCTTCTTCCTTGATGTCAACTTCTTCATTTTGAAAGAGGTGTACCAAAGGAGTAATGATATATGTCTCAATCCTTGGCTTTATCTGATATCTACTCCCAGCAGTGATATTAGATGTTAGCCAGCAAACTTCATTCCAAACTTCTTCTTCTCTCATATGGATGAATGGCTGAAGGACTGGCAATACAACTTTGATTAGGGCAAATGGTGTTGGTGGCTTGCCTAGACAGAAGTTTAACAAATTCCATGTAGCGTTTCTCATCATGGAAAGCTTTTCAGGCTCATTTAACTGTCCTAGCATTGGTAAGAGTGAATCATGACCAATATCCCGGTTCCTACCGTTTGAATCATCACCCGCCAAACCAACTAATTTTGTAGAGGATGCAAGAGCTACATGTCTTACTTCAGCTCTAACCTGCCAATTGCCCCCCACACAACCTTCACCAATTCCTGTAATATTCCATAAAGCTATAGCCAGTTTATGCTTAATATCAAGCCCAATAGATGCAGTGACTTCATCTTGAAAGGAAGCATGTCCACCTAGTGCAATGGCTTTTGCTACCCCACCCAACCTTCTTTTCTCGCAATCCATGTGTAATAGACTTGGAATCATACTGGCTGAATCAATATGAGTTGATAATACAGTTCTATCTGAAGTTTTAAGATCTGCAGTTATCAGATCAACAACTAACAAACTGCCACCAACCAATACAGATTTCATCAATACCTCGCTTAGGCCCTGTGCAACTTCAACACTTGTTTCTTCGAGCAAAGTAGGCTTTGAAAATGAGCTGGAATTGGCCTCAACATTTTCTGCGCCTTCCGGATTATCTGGTGGTCGTCCTGTGGGTTGAATATAATCATCCTTTGTCTCCAGAAACGTGTAAGGAATGCCATAGATAGCTGAAAATGTGGTACTTGCAATCAACTCCTTAGAACCTTCACCATTAGGAACTCTAGGAGCAGATTGCCCCGGCTTTGGAGAAACAGTTCCTAGTGAGAATGCACCAATTCCTGTCCCAGGTAGAAAGGACTGTGACTGATACATTAAAGGATTGAGCCCAGTTGGAGGGACAAAAACATCAGGCCCAATAGTCATCTCATCATGATCTGATTTCCATGCCAGTGCTTGAATCCTCTTTTCCTGAGTTTTATCTGTGACTTTTCCCTCCTCTAGTTTCCTTGAGGGTTGATCCTTCACTTTGCATGCACGAATTCCATCTGTATCCCTCTCAGGGGTTTTTGAACCTTCATGATGAATTGGATAAACATCTGGAGCTGGTTCCATGATAGATGGTTCAGCCGGCTTCAACTCAGAATTCATTTTCAGCAAGGCAGTCCCTGGAGAGGAAACTTGAGCACTGAGAGGAGCCGTTCGAGACTGTGAGCTGGATGGAGACAATAGCTTTGAATTCAGGGACCTACGAAACGATGTCAGCCACTGAGACGACATCTGCGAACTGGAAACTAAAGTTTGCGATGAAGTCTGTAAAATTGGAGAAACAACTTGTGGAGAAGATAGTAAACTGGAAGAAGATTTTGGCCAGGAAACCTGCGAACAACTGAGGGAGTCAACTTGCGATGATGAACTGTAAGGAGAAAGGTGAGAATCGACGGGCGAAGTGGAAGGCTGTGCTGGCGATTGAATAGACATCTGTGAACGAGTAGAAGGGATTGGCGATGGCGATGGCAACGGCCACGATGATGAAGTTAGCGATTCCGAAGAAGAAAATCGCGATTGCGATCTGGGGAAACTGGCTGGCAAAGTCGATCGGTGAGGAGAAGAGACCTGCGCAGATCGCGATTCAGAAGGCCGACGTCGAGATCGAAGCTGTTCGCTCATCGCGGCAATAGATACCGCCATGTTTGCCGCCATTTTCTTTATTGCTGAACAGTGATCTTTCACCTCTGCTTTCATCTCCTCTATAATTCCTTCCATATTGTCAAAACTCTTCTCCATTCGGGGAGTCATATAGACTTCCTCCATTGTTACAGATTGTTGTTGCTCTGAGATGATCGATGATTCCGATTCTCTGCCTCCAGGAAGAGATTGCTCTGATACCATTGATAGATATACAACAAACTGACAGTAAAGTGAAGTAGAATTAAAGATGGAATTGACGAACTGAAAGGATAACGATACAATGGAGACACTTCGAGTAGTCTCCAGCACTCCCAAGACCGTAGTCCCAAATCTGATTTCTGCCTAACTCCTTATTCCCTCCTTCCCACTCCTATATAGTAATTATATTCTAACGGGCCAGCCCATATTTTATGACATGGCCCAAAATCTGTTTTACACATTACCACACTTATTTAATATAAATCTATTACTACTATTAATATTTTCTATAGCCCAGGGCCCTATCACCTTCCCGGTAACTACTACTCATATTTGAACTAAAAGCAACCTTAGATTTATTAAAATTAATTACCTGGCCCGAGGCTTTCTCATAAACATTCAGGACTTCATGAACTACTTTAGCCTCATCATGTGATGCCTCGAAGAATAAAAGTCTTATCATCTGCAAACCACAGATGTGAAATTTTAGGCACTCCCCTAGCAACCGTCACGCCATGGTTTCTACCTGCTACCTTCTATCGCCTAATTAATGCACTTAGACCATCCGTAACCAGAATGGACAAATAGAGGGATAACGGGTCACCTTGATGCAAACCCCTAGATGAAGTTATGGGTCCCATATCCATGTCAACAAAGGGAATCATATAGGAGACAGAACTGACACATTCCATCACCAATCGTGTCCACCTATCTGAAAAACCCAGTGATAGTAACATAGCTTCCAAAAATCCCATTCAACCCTATCGAATGCCTTGCTCATGTCCAACTTTTAGCCCACATAACCCATTTTGTCTTGCATCTTTTCTTTCAAAAAATGGTGAGACTCAGAGGCAATAAGAATGTTATCAATAATGGATCGATTATGAACAAAAGCACTTTGACCCTCCCAAATACATTCATGCAATAAGCCCTTTATCCTGTTAGGCAACACTTTAACAAAACAATTATAAATGACATTACACAATGAAATCGGCCACCAATCGCCTAACACTTCCGGCCTCTCCTTGGGAATTAGAACAATATTAGTATTATTTATTTTGTCAAGTAAACACATGGATTTAAAAGCACTCATACAAAACTCCACTACTTCTGGCCCAATAACATCCCATAAGTGCTGTAAAAACCTACACTCATCCCGTCTAGCCCCGGTGATTTATCTGGATGCATAGATAGCACTACGTCCCTGACCACCTCCACTCGGATCGGGCGCAAAAGCTTCCTATTGAGATAATCTTCAATCTTCTTTTCCACCTGAAATAAGGAGTAATCAAGATTGTCCTGTAATGAAGAAAAAATGTATGTAAAATAGTAATCAATTAATCTCCCCAAAACACCTATATCCTTCTCCCAACAACCCCTGCCACCCGAAGCCCCTCAACACGACTCCTCCTTCCTTTCACAGCATTATGGAAAACGTTTGTGTTGAGATCACTCCCTTTGTACCAGAAAAACTTACTCTGTTGTTTAAAAAAAACTTTGTTGATGTAACAAATCTAAATATTCCACTTTACCCTCTGAAACTCTGCCAACCCCCAAGATTCAGATTGTGGTCAGAGATAATCTTGCATTTTCTTACAAAAACCAATCCACTTGCCAAGACCATTAAACCTGCATTTACCTCAAAAGCTAACTTCCTTTCCACAAGTCGATCTCCAGTTGAGAGACGAGTGCTCCCTGCCCATCCAAATTCCAGCTCCTAACTATCGCCTCTCGAAAATCCTCCTCTCTAAGCCAGAGTTTCTCAAATTTCAACCTCCTCTTGCGATTAACCCCTCTAGCCGGACACAACCTAATAAAAAGAGCCAAATGATCATTGGGCGCACCTTCTAGGGAATCGGCCGCCGCCTCCCCAAACATATCCAAACAGTCACCTGAAACCAAAATCCCGTCTAATTTTTCCTTCACCCGGCCAATTTACAGAGCCTCCCCACCGTTCCCATGTAAACTGGTATCCTTAAAAGAAAATTTGATAATCCACAAGCTCAAACGGTCTCAAGAAAATCATTCAATAACCAAGGGGTGAGGAACTCGCCGGCTCACCCCCTCTTCTCCATCGCGAACATGAGATCATTACAATCACCCGTAACCGACCAAGGAAGATGACATTCAAGGCTCAACGCTTTTAGCAGCTTCCACGACTCTCTTCATCTGCTACGCAGCCTACGCTCCGGATAGTACTACTCTGTATTATGCAAGGAGAAATTGAGAGGAAGAAGATAGACTTAAAACTTAGCAGAAAGACTATCTAACCTATCATATGGTCATCATTATTTCATTATTTCCAAACTAAAAAAGTTTGGAAATTGCAAAATAGGACTTCCATGTTTTTATTCCCAAAATGACTAATTACTGTCATGTTTTGGCAGTACCAAACTTCAAACATGGCAGTATTTTCCAAATTTGGCAGTAATTAGTCCTATTTTGGGAATAAAAACATGACAGTCCTATTTTGGAATTTCAAACTTTTTTAGTCCCATTTCGGGACTTTCCCTAATTTCTTTAGTTAAAGAAGCAAAATTAAGGGCCTGTTTACTAACAGAGATATTTTCCTGTTTTCTACTTCTGTTTTTCGTTCTCCAATTTTTTGTTTTTATTTTTCAGTTTTTCTCTCTCCAATTTTCTGTTTCTATTTTTTAGTTTTCCATTTTCAAATTTGAAAACATGTTCATCAATCTTTTCACACAATTCTCCAATTCCACACCCTTAACCCCTACCTCTACCCTTACCACGATCTTACACTCTACCCATACTCCACCACAACCCTTCATACCCACCCATACCTACTCGTAAGGGTCGGGAAGTTATAGGTGGGGTGGGGTAAGGGGTATGGTCGGGGTGGGGTGGTAAGGTCTAGGGGTAGGGGGTTGGGTGGGGGTAGTGGGTGGGTTAGGGTTAAGGGTGGGGTAGTGGGTAGGGTAAGGGTAGGGTAGGGAGTTGGGATAGGATGACGGTAGGGTGGGGGTCAGGACCAGGGTGGGGCCGGGGTAGGGAAGGGGTAGGGTGAGGGGGTAGGATGGCGGTAAGGGTGGGGGTAGTGGGAAGGGTTTGGGGTTGGGGTAAGGTAGGGGTAGGGTAGGGAGTTGGGATAGGATGGCGGTAGGGTGGGGTCGGGACCAGGATGGGGCCGGGGTAGGGAAGGGGTAGGGTGGGGGGTAGGATGGCGGTAGGGGGTAGGATGACGGTAAGGGTAGTGGGTAGGGTTTGGGGTTGGGGTAAGGTAGGGGTAGGGTAGGGAGTTGAGATAGGATGGCGGTAGGGTGGGCCCGGGATCCGGGTGGGGCCGTGGTAGGTTAGGGGGGTGGGGGTAGGATGGCGGTGGGGTGGGGCCGAGGTATGAGGCATGTGGTAAGGGGTAAGGTAGGGGTAAGTGGTAATATACGAGGGGTGGGGTAGGGTGGGTCGGGGTGGGTTGAGGTGGTAGGGGGGTGGCGGTAGGGTAGGGTGGATCGAGGTGGGGTAGGGGGGTGGCAGTAGGGTATGGTGGATCGGGGTGGGGCCGAGGTCGGGGCATGTGGTGGGGGGTGGGGTAAGGTCATTATAGGGAAAAATGGGTACGCGGGGTGGGGGTTGGGTTGGTAGGGTAGGGGTGAGGGGTTAGGTACGAGGATGGAGGTACCAGAATGGAATCGACATCGGAGCGGGACCGGACCCACCACTAGATGTAAGTATGCAAATTCATTGCAAAGGCACTGTAGTATCTGCGTTTTCCAAATTTGGAAACTAGTAAAAGTCACTTCTCCAAATCATCAAGGAAAAGAGAAACATGTTTCATTTTTTCCGTTTTGGAAAACGATTTGGTAAACACGTTTTTCTTTTCTCCTTTCTCCAGTTTTCCAGGAATTTCTTTGGTAAACACGTTTCCTGTTTTCTGTTTTCCAGTTTTCTGGAAAACTGGAAAATATTTCTGCTAGTAAACATGCCCTAAACTTTACAATATTTAGAACAATAGAGGAGCTGTGGTGAGCTTAATTTCTTCTTCTTCAAATTTTTAGTCAAGTATAAATACCCTTCAGCCCAACCAACCCAAATTCCAGAATCCTCCACTGAATAGATCTGTCCCTTTTGACAAAATAAAATACACTTCACTTTTTATTAAACGCTGCATAATATCAAAAGTGCAGTGCATATATTTCGAACAGAAAATGTACATGTAAGTAGACAGTAGTTGATATTATTTTCAATAAAACTGTTTTACTGTTGTTTATGTTGTAAGGGTCACTTCTATTAAATTTAAAAAGAAATAATTACATATTCATGACTAAAATAAAAATTGTTTACAAAAATGTGACTAGAGTAGTATTGGAATTATGGTAATTTATGTTCAAGTTTTAAACTTAAGTTACTATGACGCTAAATGATAGTAACTATTAGTCATATATTTGTGTAAATAAGTTTTGTTTTAGTAATACTTTTGAACGAAGCTCGATACAATATACAGGGAATTTTATGTGGACGAAATTTACATACAATTTATATTGAGGAAATGTACAAATATATTACTGAAGTATATGTGGAGGTGCACATATACTCCTGAACTTCTAAAATATGCAAAATACCCATCATGTTCCTATAAAGGAACAAATTTACCCTTATTGACTTTAAATAATTAAAAAAAAATAAAAAACACCAAAAATAATTCTAAATTTAAAATTCGAAATTGAAAAATAAAAAATAGAAAAATCGACTTGTGTCCAATCCCCTCTTTTCTTAGTTTGATATCACAATTTAATATTGTTGTATAAAAAATGTTTCAAAACTTTACCACGTAGTATATATTTATGGCTTTCGGAAAAGTGTTAACATATGTGTTGCAATGTGAAAATCATTATTTTTTGTATTCTATGCACTGCGAAATTACATTTTTTGTATGATGATAAATAGTCTAAGACTACAAAGTAGTGAAATTAATTTTATTAAGTTTAAACAAAAAACAAAGAATGTTATTTAAAAAATGTAACAATGTGTTCGAAATTTCGCAACAAGACTAAAATTAATATTATGAATTTGAAGTGCTTCATTTACGAGAGAAAAATTAAAATTTTTCAACTTAAAATTAAGGAGTTATCATTTCAACATAAAAAACAAATCTTTGATTTTGACTCCTTAATTTTTAGTATTTCAATTTCGAAATTTAAATTCATAGTTTTTTTCAAAAGACTGATACATGTATTTAAAGTCAATAAGAGTAAATTTGCTCTTTTATGGGAACATAAGGTTTATGTTTGCACCTTTTACAAGTTTAGGGATATATCTGCACTTCCACATATATTTCATATGTATATTTACACCTTTTCCAATCGAGGTATATTTGCATGTTTCCCCAATTTTAATCATGTAAATGCTCAATGCAGGTTTTATGTAACCTATATTTGCATTTTAAACAATGCATCCTAAGTGAACTGATTTTACGATCCTAATAGATGTTTTTTTTAAAAATGCTAATAGATGTTTTTTAGTTGTGTTTTTTTCAAAACGTATTAGTGAAATGAAACTTATTTATAAAATATGATTGATAGTTTTTGCAATCTCATAATGACTTGAGTGTAAAAATGAATGTCACTATAATACATTATTACTATAGGCAGTACACTTGATTTGGAAGACCACATTTTTGCAAAGAACTTTGTTCTTCTCATCATATATAGAATTACTATGTATTTCTTTTTAGATTTTGATCTCTTTATACATTCGAAATGTTTAATTATTCTCACATTCGGCCACCTTTAATAATACTTCAATTATTATTATTGCATACATATCTTGCATAATCATAGCTCCAGAAAATTATACCACTCAATGAGCTTGGACAGTGGAGACACGTATTCAACTGATTTCATGACGTGGGTTTATTACTTGGATTGTGCATAAATGCATATTAGATAAAGCTTAATTGTATGTTTGATGAGTCAATAATGCATACTACGTAAATGATAAATAGAGTTAAACAGTAAACCTCTGGGCTGAGGATCATCAACCCAGTAGCATTGTAGACCAGCCACCCCATCGAGGACCGATAGTTATAACTTATAAGCTGCCCCAGTCCCAATCGTGAATTTGCTGGATGAGTTGGCAACTCATTTAATGGTCATCTTATTCAAGGCCGATAATCACTTGGTTTTCATGATCTCTTGAATTGTCTTTCGAGTTCCATACAATTAGCTTCAGTCTTCAAGTGACATATCCATACAATTTTCATTTAATGCAAGATTGACCATCTTATTGCATCACTTATTATATTCACGGAAACAATCGAGTCAAATTTAGCATGTCTATTTAGAATTGATGCTTACATGTTTTAGGGGCAAGGAATGGTTTATTTGATGTGTGATTGTCATGTATTATTGCAATTATACTTCAATTTGAAAACTGTTTCCATGACTAATAAGCCTTCTATCGGTTAATGATTTTTTCAATCTTTGACCATTAAAAATTAAAATCATGTGACAATATCATATGTGGATTGATGTTCAAATTTAATGTAACTTATTTTTTTTATATATCCATTAATTAGTGCTGTCTAGTATCATATTTGAAAGACCTGAAGATGAACCAGAAGAAGAGGAGGGGGAGGGGGAAATTTGGGAACCATGTACTGAGATTGAAGAAGAGGAAGAAGAAGAAGATGAAGAAGAAGAAGAAAAAAGAGAAGATGAAGTAACTGAGCATTCTATAGAAATAAGAGGAGATGCTTATGATGATGATGATGATCATAGCAACATTTTTGAAAATAAAAACAAAACACTGACATTAACACATGAAGTCGGTTCGTTCATCATGGCGACTATGGAGCTGCTTTTCAATATTGCATCACTTGTTACAAAAAAAGATACCTATGCAGCCATTGCCCTATTTCTTTCTATTGGTCCTATCATATTCAACCCTGAGAACTTTTCTCCCATGAGAATGTGTGGCTTCCCTAACCGATTAGCCAAATTCTTACATCAGCTTTGGGAAGGTGCATTTTTCCTAGTAGGGATCACTATTTCCGCTACACAAATGAATCATACCTCCTCTAAGTCCAATGAGGCCAAGCTGGAGCTTCTCACTTGTTTTTTCCTTGGTATAGGTGTTTCTATGTACTACAAACAAGCTGAGAAAATGGTTAGAATGGGATTGAAGATAAAAAAAAGACACGGGTGCACATCATTAGTTTCCTGCTTTTCTTTTTCATTTTGAGTTCAAACAAAAGAACTGGATGTAAATATTTGCCTTACAACTTATTAACGTTAAGTTCTTAGTAGTTTTTTATATAATGTTTGGTGTACAAACTTAGTAGTAAATGGGGACACCACCAATTAGTACTTTCTAATTCCATCATTGGAGTAGTGTCTCTATAGACCCTCTATCCTATTTTTGAATCACTACTAAGTCAACTGTTGTTTGTCTAACCTTGATTAAGAGCTCTTTGTTTCACACCATTGGGAGAAGTGTTTATTTATTGGGAGAAGTGTTTATATATAGATACACACATGAATTTATATGTGAGTGGATCTTAGAGAATGTGAATAAATTGAGTGGGGACAATACCAGATAGGAAAAAGAGGATTAAGAATTTGAGGATTACTTTCTGCAATTGTTGGCAACATAACCCCTGATGCGTTCTTGATCATAATTGATGCCTAGTAACAGATGCAAATGATGAAGGTTTAGTAAAAATTATTAGGATGTATTATTTGAAATCTCAAATGTAATCTTTAAACAATGTGATAGATCAATTTACTCATACCGGAATAAGGGCGGTGCAGAGCAGATTTAGGGGAAGCTACCCGTTAGCGATATCGTCTTCTGTTATTAGCGGGGAACAGATCGACATCCGTATATTGAGCTCGGTCTTGAAGGCAAGCGTTAATGGTTTAAAAGCTTGAGCTGGACAGAGACACAAGGCTAATAGCAATAAGAGTTCAAGAACTGTACTGTAATGTGCAATCTGAC